GAGGCTGAGGCAGGAGAATTGCTTGAACCTGGGAGGCGGAGGTTGCAGTGAGCCGAGATCATGCCACTGCACTCCAGTCTGGGCGACACAGCAAGACTCCATCTCAAAAAAAAAAAAAAAAAGCATTAGATAAAAATTTAAAACCATTTATGTTAACAACACTGTACAACCAAGGAAGCTTCCTTAACCTGATAAAGACTATGTACTAGAAAAACACAGCAAACAGTATATCTAACGGTGAACTATTAGGAACATTTCCTTTAGAGACAAGACTAAGACAAGGATATCACTATCACTGTAACCAATACATTAACACATGAAAAATACAAAGAAAGCATCTAAGGACTGTGAAATGTCAGAAACAAACAGCCTGTAATTACTTATATATGATGCCTCTCTAAACAGAAAATCCTAGACAATCTAAAATGTGTCTGAATAAAGTCTGACAAGGCTTCTGGGTACAAGATGAATATCTAAAACAATTGTATTGAATTCAACAACATAAAAAATTAGAAAATGTCATTTTAATTTTAATTTATCAAGGGATCAAAAACTGTATTACTCCAGGAATCTAACAAAAAATGTGCAAAAACCATTAGGGAGAAAACTATCTGACTTACTGAAAGACATTAGGTCAAGAAGACAGAAACAGAAAGAGATACTGTTTGTGGGAAGGAAAACTAATCAATTCACCCTCAAAATGTATTGATCAACTCAGTGTAATTCTAATAGTTCCAAGAGGGCTTTTCCTGGTATTTGACAAACTAAACTGAAAAGTTAACAAGAAAAGCTTGGCTGGGCACAGTGGCTCACCAAGGCGGGGAGATCACCTGAGGACAGGAGTTCGAGACAAGCCTGGCCAACATGGTAAAACCCCGTCTCTACTAAAAATAGAAAAAATTAGAGCCAGGCATGGTGGCAGGTGCCAGTTACTCGGGAGGCTGAGGCAGGAGAATCACTTGAATCCGAGAAACGAAGGTTGCAGTGGGCTGCACTCCAGCCTGGGCACCAGAGCCAGATTCTGTCACACACACACACACAAAATAAAAATAAAAAAGGAAGAAGAAGAAGAAAAACTCAAGCACAGCCAAAAAAGGTCATGATGAACAACAATGTATGTGGGGGTAGGAGTCCTACCCAACCATATATCAAGATTTCTTATAAAGTCATGGTCAACATGGACAATATAGTACTGGCACAAATAAAGAGAACTAAAGAACAAAATATGGAGTCCCTAAAACACTATTAGTTATATATATGCAAAACTGTGGCCAGACACCATGGCTCATGCCTATAATCTTAACACTTTCAGAGGCCGAGGCAGGAGGATCACTTGAGCCCAGGAGTTGGGGGCCAGACTGGGCAACACCATGAAACCCCATTACAATTTTTATTACAAAAAATTTTAAAATTTGCTGGGTGTGGTGGCACACACCTGTGGTCCTAGCTACCCAGGAGGCTGCGGTGGGAGGACCACTTGAGCCCAGGAGGTTGAGGCCACAGTAGGCTGAGATCGTATCACTGCACTCTAGCCTGGGTGAGGG